GTAGCAGACTTCTACATTCAAAGCAAATATAACTTCTCTAAATGTATTTCTAAATTAATAGCCGATTATTCTAACTTTCTTTCACAAAATACTGAGTAGGTATTCATAGCCGCTCGGAGCCACTTGACAAGATATGTTGTTTTAAAATTTATTTTTAATACTAGTTAAGCGGTTACTGTAGGCAAGCTAACATTTAACTCATTGTCTTGTTACACATGAGAGATGTTGTTTCTTTCACAATGTATATACACCACTATACAAATTTAAATAAAGAAATGATGTTTACTTATTAAAAAAAAAAAAAAATATATATATTTTTTAATAAAAATTTATATTATATTATTTTTAAGTTTTAAAATATATTTGAATAAAAATTTCAAAAAATTACAATTTATATTATATAATATTTTAATTAATATTATATTTTGATATTTTAATAAGAATTAATAATAAGATTAAAAATAATTAAGCAAATATCTAATAAATTATAAACAGGAATATTTAAATAAAAGTATATTTTGTTGAATTATCAATTTTCTATAATACAAAAAAATATAAGACAATATTAAAGATCTCTAAATATTGATATTAAAAAAAAAATCAATTTTGTATATATAAAATATTTTGTTATATAAAATATAAATAAGCAATAGTTTTGTATAAGTTATTGCTTATTTATTAATTATATTATTTAGCATTAACTAAAACTTGTATAATTGAAATATAAAAAACATATATATAAATATAAATATATTAATCAATAAAATTTTAATTATTAATTTAGGATTTTCTATTGGAGGCAATATTAAAACTTTTGATAACTGTAAATAACATTTTAATAATACAATTTATCTATACTAGTCCAAGGTTTTCTATTAAAAGTATAATATATATTGTTACAACATATTTGGCTATAAGTTGACAAAATATTGATTATTGATTCAGGGTTTTCTATTGCAAATAAACATTGATGCTGTTTGATATTTATAAATTTTAACATGTAACAATATTAATAAATGTTAACATGTAACAATATTAGCTTGTTTGCACTGGTTCAGGATTTTTCACTAAAAGCATATAACAAATTCTTAATACAAAATATAAATAAAACTTTTCAATTTTTTCAAATAATTTAATTACAAATTACAGAATGTTTCGTGTAACATCATATGCACTTTTGAATTCTTAGAATTTTCAGTAAACAAGTGTTAATCTGGTTAATTATTATATTATCAAATTTTTAAGAAAATAACAATGTCTATACGTTCTTGTAATATGTTAAAAAACTTGTGGCATATCTGAAAATATATATATACAGTATAAACAAAAAATTTTTTTAAAGAAGCGTTAATTAAATTGGTTAATAATACAGTTTCTTTTAAATTTTACCTTAAAATATCTAGTCATGGTATAATATTTGCGGACCTAGCTCAAAAATCAATAGGTATATGTGCACACACAGCATATTATATTAAGTTAAAGTAAAGGTCTATGGGAATTGTAACTCGATTGCTATATATCAAAGAGATCAATCTTATATATGTAACGTTGTCTAAAAATAAATTAAAATACGCACCCAACGTTGACTCGTCATTACCATAATGGTTCTGATTTTACAATCACCCCTTTATTTTTATATCTATCCAAAATCCCGAATATCACTTCTTCCTTTACCAAGAAATTCACCGTCATCTTTTCATCTTTTCCCTCCTCATAGTTTCTCTTCTTTCCATCAACATATTTCTCTACATGAACAACGCCCACACACCTCCCTAATTCACTTTCTAACAGTAACATAAAAGAATTGTTGGCCTCCGTATCGTGCATCACACGAAAACATTGGAAATTGTATATCGAGTAATATAGGTAGAGGTAATATTTAGCATGAGAAGAAGAAGAAACAAAGCCGATATCACGTTTCGAGATGACACGCATGAAATAGAAAGTGTTTAGGGAAGGGGAATAGTCTAGAAATGAAAGACCGGATTTGAGTCCGAATTTGTGAGAGAACGCACGAGAATCAATATTATGCAATGATATGTCCTGGGAAGCAAAAATGAATTCATTATTTCCTTAATAACAATAAGAATGAGAAGAATTTTTGAAACTACAATTATACCTCGATCATCCAGCCACTTGTGAAATTCTTTGAGATCTCGTCTTTAATTACTATAGGAATCAGTTTTTTCCATCGTTTACATGTTCGCATGAGTTGACAGATCTTCTTAAAACTATATAGACAAGTAATAATGAGTATGAGTATTTGATGCATTTTCACATTGAGTAAAAATAAGGGGGAACTTTATACTACCTTGTTTCTTTTAGTACTATACCAAGGATATGAATTATGAGTTCATTTGGAATGTCGGCAAGCATTTTTTTTACATTTGCGAAACTGAGTATATTTAGCAAAATTAAATTAGACATAAAGAAATTATTAAATCTCCGAACTAAAGGAATATTGTTTTTCCAAGAATTAGATAACTGTTGGTCCCTTAATTTAAATACAGTATATTCGTAATTTAGTACAGAAAAAAAAACAGATAAGCGAAGCCCACACTTACACTTGTTTTTTATTATTATTGGAATATAAATATTTGGAATATCATTATAGTTGATTTATTATGTCTAGGGCGTCATTTCATTAATTAAACTTTCCTCAACAGTACCTTTATAATAATTTATTTCTATTCAAAAAATTGTAAAACCGAAAGTATGATACAATACTTACATCCTTTCAAAGTTTTTTCATGAATTTCAATTAGTGTAACGGTCGCAGTTGCACGGATAATTTCAGTAACTCGAATGATGCACATGCGAGATTACGTCCCAAGGTTCTAGAAAAGTCAGTTTTTAATATACGGTATAACGACGCCCATATAAAGTGGTCCGATCTACCATTTTTTTTCAATATCTTTTTTCTCACTGCGAACACAAGAAATTTTTAGAAAAATGTGTCACGGTAATTTTTTGAGATCACTATACGAACACGAGAAGTGCAAAATTTTCTTCTCTGGTTATCTGCAGTAAATGAAACGCCCTTACTTGATCCTTTCTCTATCAAATAAATTTTAATAGTCAAGCCAACCCAAGTTACTTGTCAAGCTCCAATGTGTGGTCGTCCAATTTATGTAGAGTCTAACGGGTACGAGCTATTTTACCTACAGATATTACGCAGAAATTTTATCCACAAAATAACAATATTTGTCCTTTTTTTTTAATATACTCTAGCTATCGACACCCCTTTTGTAGCACAACCTGCGCACGATTGTATGATAACGCTCTTAGTGATTATTACGCGATTCCTTCCGATACTACTTGTAAGGTTCCGGAATGTAACGTCAACTCTCATGTTGATCCCAATGGCTATCGCCATCCTTATTGCTCGCGCACTTGCGCACGAAAGGATGCAGAAAAAGGTCAACGTTCTGACTCGAAATTCTTTTAACGGGTATTCGTCGTAACAGGCATAGTGCCGAAATAATATTTTTTTTTTTAGTATGATGTGAATTGTTCAAATTTTCTATTTTAGTTGATATATTCTTTGAAATACATGTGACTTCATTTTGCCATTTGCTCTATATAATCTTCAGAAATTCACCTTTCTTTTTGAAATTATTACTTAGGTAATTTACCATGTATTTTGAATATGTTGCTATCATGTTTAAAAATAGCCTGACTTAGATAACCTGCAAATACAAATTCTTTATAATATGAATTGACAAGAAAAAGTTCTTTACAATACAATGTTGTGAATTTTTCGATAATACGTAATTTGTCGTACACGAAAATAAAGAATCGATTTACTGTATATTTTATTTAATAACTTTTCAATTATATTTTTATCAAACTATCATCATACGTTTGTTGCGGTCGTTTTGAATTTGAAAGTCGTGTGTTATGGGATTTGTAGGAAGTCTTTGAACAGAAAGAAGCTATTTTATTATTATATAACAAGTATTCATACTGTGTAGGGAAAATGAAGAGCGATGGAACGCGATTTCGGTCACATGACAAAGGATCGGTTCCCGTGTTTCGAAGAGAATGATATAAAGTGAAACAGCGACGCAAGAATTATGTAATTAATAAAATAAAACATATTATTGTCGTAAATTACATAATTTTTTTTGTTTCTTTTTTTTCTCATGAAATATTATTTGCTTAAAAGATTTTTAAATGAATTACTGTACAGTTGCCTCCGAAAGTAATGCCCGATTTTATTTATTTATACTTTAAATCGGGCGTTACTTTCGGAGGCGACTGTACATTATATTTTTTACTGTATATATCGTAATTTATAGTAGTATTATAAAGAAATAATAATACGATATCAATTCATTTTTTCAGTATATAATTTAAAATAATATATTATAATAAGCAAAATCCTTTCAATTTTAACAATTGATAATTAATTGTTGTTATAATGATTTATTGAAAAATTCAAAATTGATAATTCATATAATATGTTATGTTTTGTTTTTTATTATTTTTTAAATATTGAATTACTTGTTACATTTTTAACGTTTTATCTGATATTGTACAAATTCGTTTCAACATATTAAAATATAACGGTCGAATAATAAAAGGATTTTAAGTAATATATTTTTTATATTTTAAAAATTTATTATTATTATTTTATTATTTTATTGTTTTTGTTTATTTACAAATACAGTTTTTTGTAATCAAAATTATACAATAAAGTAATTAATTAACTTGATATAATTTCAAATACTATTAAATTACTTATTCAAAATTTATTTTATTTTTTTTATAATAATTTTTAAAATATCTTTTGATTGTAAATCTAAAAAAATTATTGAAACTTTGATTATTTTTTAAAAGTAATCTTAATAATATAATTAAACTTCAAGTAAAATATATTGAAAAAATTTTTGGTTATTGTTTTATTTTTAGTAATATAAAAAAATTTAAAATTTAATTTTGCAATTATTTAGAAATATTGAAATAAATAAACATATTATAATTAAAAATTCAATTAAAATAAAAAATAAATAATTTTAATAATATTCTTTTAAAAGTTTTCAAAGTTTGTTATACAATATGTTACTTGTATTTTAACTAGTAAAATTAATTTATTATATAAGGATTTTTAATATATAAATAATAACAACAATTTATTACAATTTTAAAAAATTAAATTTCAAAATTAATAATTTAAAAAAATTAAATAAATATTATTTTATATGTATTAAAAAACAAAAATCAATATTTATATTTAAAAAAATAAATACTTGATTTTTAAAATTTCTTTTTTATTTTTCTCAAACTTTTATTTATTTTTTTAAATATAGAGAGTGAACAAAAGTTTATGGACAACTTTAAAAATTAAAAATTAAATCAAATTAATAGAAAATTAAATAAATAAAAAATATATTTAAAATTCTTAAAAATTAAACTTTTAAATAAAAAAATTTTAAAAAAAATTATGCAATAGTTTTGAGAAAAAAAAATTTAAAAATT